TGGAGCCACAGCACCTAATTCGACTAAGTAACAAAGCACAACTCTCATCCCTATCATTATCACTCCCCCTTCCTTTTGTGAACAGACCTGAGTCTGTCTATCAAAAGTTGCTTTTGTCCCTACAGTACCAGGCGAGAGGACTTCTCTCCAGATCCATTTTAAACAAGATGAGAGACTTCAGAGGTAGTTCCACTCAAACGAAATCCTGCAGATGCAAATCTTTCTCTTCTTTTCAAATCTTATACGACACTGCATTGGCTTTCTATCTGCTGTATCTGTTGCATTCAATTTTCCACTGCACATTACATACACCCCATGTAATTTGCTCAGTTCACCTTTACAAAAGGTGAACTTTACAAAAGGTGAACTGGATGATTCTTTGCCAGGAGCTTCCCAGAGGGGATCCAACCACAGACCAGACAGTGTAGTAGCAAAACGGAGGCTAACATTCAAAGGGCAAGAGAGTACAAGCTTGCTGCTGGTTTAGGCACTGATTTGGGGATTTTTCTCTCGCTTGTTGTGAAGTCATACATAATTAAGTGTTTTAGCCTATTGCCTAGCCTACACATTGTTTATATTTTACATTAATGCTGACCTCTCTCCAAAGCATAACCTTTTAGCTTAATTTCCTTCATGGTTCGAGATAGGTATTTCACAACAGTGAACATTTTCTTGCTTTGATTTTTGGTTCACTCTCATCATCAACCCTGCATTTCTACACCACCTGCCCAGCGGTATATGGTAGACAGACAGCAAGTCAGCAACTAGCTGGTGAACACAGTGGAGCATTTAGCAGCGAAAGAGCCAGATATCTTTCTCAGGAGTCGGTGAAGACCAAAGACTAAACGGAGAATGTATACTGGACTTCTATTAATAGGAGCAACAGCAACATAACTCCAGAAGAATGCTAATGTTGCTCCGTATCTGCTGGATGTGTGAATAAGCAACTGTTTGCTAACAAGTTGATAACTGGGTGTGAAAGCTGGCTCACTTGTTTGTGTTGTGCTAATATAATTTTTCCACTGCCCCCACGTGTGAAATCATTTATTGCTGGACTAAGTCTGGGAAGTCCTGAAGCATCCTTGAATTAAACATGGAAAAAATGGCGGCATAAAAGGTAGAAAATCAATCTACAAAGGGATGGTATGCCTTGGAAAATGTTGGTAATATGTAAATTAACCCTAGTTTTGTCATTAGTACCCTAAAACATGTAAAGTTGTAAAACTAAGGGAGGAGCAGCAGCTGGAGCAACTGGACAGCAAATATAGGGAAGGGTGATAATGTTGCTTGTGGTGTGTGTATGTGTGCGTGTGGAGGCTGGATTAATCGCTCCATGCAAAACATTTAAGCTCTGCTCTTTCATCTGCGCACACAGTTAGCCAGTCCTCGCCATTCATTTCTGACAACCACGTTTCTCACTGTGCCTGACTACAATAGCAAACTGACAACATGACGTTAGGCTGCTGGAAAAGGCGCCCCATACAGCGGATTTAAAAACTTCAAATTTAATGAAAGGACTTCCCACATTCACTGCTGTTTTTCTTTATTCCTTGGGAACACTGGCTGCTTATTCTCATACAAACACTAATGTAGGCATGCACCACATGTACACTATACACACATAATTACCACCCTTTTTAAAAAGGCTGATTTGTGTAAATATTCAACACATTATCATGTTCATGCAACTGTAGAATGACCCAATCTGGCTTACTACCCTCTATCTACAGCGGGAAACTCGGTCCAATTACCAGCGAGATTCCACTGAATCTACAAAATAGTCACCAAAGAATATTCCCTCGCCGTTTTCATCCTTATTTTTCAGTGATTACTTTAAAAGATTATATAACCAGAGCCCTTCCTCTGCAATTATTCAGCAAATCCTTGCCTCTTCCTCACCATTTCTGTAACATCCACTGGGAGAATAAAACCTGTTTCTCCGTAGACGACACCACCCACATCAATTTATTCCTTTGTGGCTCTGTTGCAATGTCCATTCTGTAATAAGCTATGATAATTAGAAGAAAACTGTATGAATGTTTGACCTAAGCTAATTAGAAAGTTTGTAGACTTGGCAGTAGGAATCAGCAGTGGGATAATGAATCATAAAATGGTTCATTACTGCGCTCAGGGAACACTCTCAATCTCAATAAACGGACATGGGGCCTAGCAGACAAATCAAACCAGGACGCATGCACTGCCTCATTTAGCTGCTGAAAGGATCACAATAAAAAAAGAAAATGCTTTTTTTGTTGCTCTAACTGGTTTCTATTATTAAAGTGTCTCTTCTCCTTCACTCTCATCTCACCCCCTTTCTTTCTATCTTTCCTTCTATCTGTGCCTCTATCTCACTCCATCTCGAAGGACACCCATTTTGCTGTGACTGGCAATTCATGCTGCCATTTTCAGTTTCTTTAGTGCATTAACAATGTATACAAATCAAGCTACTCCAACATCACAGAGCATGAGTGCTAATAAATAACTGTTGATCATTGTGCTGTACTTTGGACTGTGCTCCATTCTTCCCACAGTTGTCTTTTCTCTGCCTTTCCTTTGGCTTTCCCCGAGGAACGAACGCTGAAGCTACCCACTCACACTGCTTCTCTCCTGCTAATCTTAAACCCATAGATATACTGTAGATGCAGACCTCTCCAGACCCAGAGGACAACAATCCGCCCACATTACTTTCCTCAGACATCCTCTCCCTGCCACCCTGCACTAGTGGGAGTAGAGCAGAACACCATATACAGATAACAATCGCCTTTCACCATCTCTCTAAAGCAAACGCAGCTCCCTTTACATGATGTTGATGTACATTCCTGTACGATAAGTTAGATAAAAGAGTACTTCACCAGTTTAGCATTGCACTCCCATAACATTGTTAATCAGCGACGGACAATAAAAAAAAAGGATCAAAATTCGATGCAGCAGAACCAGACATATCTTTTTATTCCACACGTTTTTCTTCCCTGTCAAAAACTATATGACCCACAATGCAACTCAACCATCGGGCTTTCTTGTGTGTTATGCTAGTAGTGGCTAATGTAGCCTTGAGCGGCTAGTCTTCAACCCCAACCAACACTCTATTGCCTATAGACTTCACACAGTGCCCTCTGGAGCAACAAATGGCTGAATACAACTTTTTTTCACATAGGCAGTACTTTGGGGAGTACCCCCAAGACCTGTAAACAGACTCTGATGTGTAAAGTCGGTTTAACTTCAACTTTGTCTACATTGCATTGCAATCTTGACATTTCTAATATCTACATTTCCTCTTTAAGAATGACTCTACATTTGGGCAGCAACATGTTTTTCAACACTGTTTATTTACCACCAACGACTAAAGCACAGTACACATGTTCATAATGGAGTTGGCACAAAATCTGCAGTTGGCAATCTCAGCACAGCAGACCGCGCAATGGGAGCTAACTAAACAACATCAATAGTAAACATTTTCCACAGAAGAGAAATGAAAAAACTAATTCCCATGCCCTGTACCCCTCTACTCTTCTAGTCTCCACCAGGCTCAATCAAGAGGCCTTTATTCTCTGACTCCTATCTTCAGACAGGGGAACCAGAGCTGGCACAAAATGGCTCTGGGAACAATGTGCAGGCCTGATTGCTCCATTGTAAGTTAGCTGTGGCCTTTGACATCTCCTCCTGAACCAAGAGTGTCTAATTCTGACAAGATTTGTCTGGAGACACAGCTGGAGGCCATTGTTACAGACAGGTGCCATACACTGCCTGTTCAACAGAGAAGGCGGAGAGCTAGACAATAACAGAACAAAAAAATTGCCACTGTGAAAATGGCTGTCTGTCTGCACATGCTCTGGGTTTTGAGTCTTTAAAGAGCCAGGCAGAAGAGTGTCCAAAAGGTTAGAGGTGGATAACAGAGGAAACATGCCAAGTAAAATCAGGGTCCCGGAAGGTACATGTGTTCCTGTTGTCCATTTGGCAGCTGCACACTAAGGAGGGTGTTATGTCCGCAGGGAAGCATGGTGCCAGGCAGGATGTGCAGGGCCCACGAGCGGGGGAGACCATGCCCATGCAGAAAACAAAAATACAGTATGGATCTGGTGCGAGAGACCGTCTGTCATCTAAAATCATGTTAGGTTTGTTTAAGTGCTGGCTGATATAAACAGAGGGAGAGATTGAGCGGACATACTGAGAGACAGGGCAGAGGTCAAGTCAACAGAAAACTGTCATCTATCCACACGGCCCAGCAGGTCTGTATGAAAACCAGGAGACATCTTGATACATGTGCGATACAGGTAGAACTGCAATAATCTCTCTATTATGTTGCATACAAAACATGCTTTAAAGACCCACTGAAAATTCCTAGGTATGTGTCATCTCTTGGTGTATGTCAAATATGTAAATTTATATGTATATTCTATATTCATATATTTCTTAATATATGAATTCTCTTCTTGCACAACATTCATATCATATTCAGGTGTACAGCATTAATTCTTCCCTCATTCTGATTCTCCAGAAACTTCATGCAATCCAGGCAAATCCCTGAACAATCTCTGATTAAATGTCTCTCAAAATGATATTTATAATTCTGTTTTCTCACGTAGAAATATGTCACAAGACGCTCTAAATGCTGTTTCACTGGTCCTTTCATGGAACAACTCAGCTAAGGTCAAGCTCCGTCAGTGTTTAATACCATATGCTGCTTGTTGCAGGAATTTCAGAGCCATTTTCTATGTGATTATTGAGTGCAATACTTTTTTCCTTTTTTTTTTTACAATGCAGATTTTTGGCCACATAAAAGGAAATGTAGTGTGAGCTCACGCAACAGTAAGTATGGCAGAGGTCTTGCAGCAGGTGTGTCATTTTTAACTATAGTGGCTTTTTCAGTACATGAACTCTTTTGATCGGCAGCTCTCTTATTTATGACACAATTCTCCCAGAGCACTTTTGCACTATACAATTTTACTTTACAATCAGCCTTCCAGCAGAAAACGAAAAAGTAAGTATTCTTGTACACTTACAGCCTTTGTATATGTCTGTGGGAATCTGGACCGCACTGGAAGAGTAGTTGACCTTGTTTTTAAAATTGGGAGCGTCCACAAACTCCAGCTCCAAAGACAACGAGCTCTCCAGCGGGTTCTCCTCTTCTCCATCTTCCGCCTGCAGACACACACACACGCACGCAGACAGACACACACACACACACAAATTTGAGTGAGCATACAAAAAAAATGCGTGGACAGAAGAACAGGGGAAACATGCAAATATAGCACTGCATTCTGTCACCTCCCATATTGTGGCTTTACAGCGCCCATCTGTGGCTCTGGTACATACAGTACATTGTCTCTCTCTCTGACTCATACATAAAGTAACGCAGCATTTGGATAATGTTAAGCACAAAAATAGCAATTATTCCACCTTTTGTCTGGCTTTAGATTTGGGTGGTTCTATACTCTCCTTCTCATCAGAGAACAACAGCAGGTATCAGAGCAGACACCAAACACAGAGACTCATTAGTACTCGAGATGACTATCACAGACACATGAGGTGCCATACAAATTAACCCCAACAATAACTAGCAACAGACACCACTTAATCACTGTTTAGTCTCCCACCCACTCAAATGATAGCATATTTCATAGCAGACTGTTTGTTCTCTCTTCCCTGTGATTTTTCAAACACAAAACAGTGCTCATGCTGCATATTTCTTATTCGCTGTGGCACTTTTACAGCTTCTCAATCTGGCCATTGTACATGATGGGAAAGCCTGACACACACATTGCATTAGGAAAGTGTCAGATATCAAAGAAAGCCAGAAGATTAAAAAAAAGTCAAACTGGCATTTAAGCTTTTTATCTTGAAAAGTAATCAATGGAGTACAATCTGTGCCTGTTCCCACAGGAGGAAGTGATTGTGCGATGTGAAGTAAAATGGCAGCAAGATATAACCCTACTCTCCGGCTCAGTTTATTAGCTTATTCTTGATTTGATTTCAGTGCGTTTCCTTAGAGCGCTCACTAAAACCTTGTCAGACGCATCCTTAGAAAATAGGTCACATTTACAGATCAACATTCAAAAATGAACATGTAGGAGGTCGACTTATGGTTGAGCATTTCTTAAACAAACACAGTCTAATTAATGTGTGGTCATGCACCAAGCACTTTGATACACTGCCATACAGAAGTAGCCCACAGCACAGTCTGGCGTCATGTTTCCACCATTCTTCCTTTATTAGTCATCCTTCATTAGCCTTAATTCATGGAATATTTGTAAAACAAAACTCACATCTCTGATCACTCCTCATGCATTCTGACTGCTGAGGAGCAAAATTTGAATTCAAAATAAATCTTTGAGCGCAGCAGATTTGCAACTTCAATATGCACTTCTCATTTTAATAAAGCAGCATGGATTAATTGGATCTGACATGATAAAAACTGTTTGTTTTTTGGAGAAATTAAATCAAAACCCCTTGTCCACAGCAGAAACTGATTGATGGGCCAACTTTAATTGACTATTAAAATGCAATTACAAGCTGTTGTTGGGACGAGCGGGGGGATAGTTGTGCCGAGGTCCCACTGAAAGTCAACAAGAGGAACAATGCAGTGTTATGACAAGAGACCAGTTCATTAGAAATGTCTCATTTCTAAAACTCTTACATCATCATAATACAGGATATGATCATAAAGAAATATGTTAGCAAGTACTTAAACTTGCAGCTTAGCAAGTTTAACAATGGGAGATATTTATGAAAAATCTGGTTAATTTAAATGTGTAGTCGACAAGACTGGTTAAAAAAAGTGAACATTACTTTTTCACAAAAACAACAAATAAGTGATACAGAGACACTTTTGGAGGCATTCATTAACAGACAGCTCATCTGGATATGTGAGACGTTGTGAGGCAAGAACTTACTGATATTTTAGTTTTATTAAAAGGGTCCTTATATAAATCAGGTTAGATGAGATTTCTTTTAATTAGTTTCTGCCTGTTGTTTTTAGTGTACACCTTTGGGACTTGACCTGAGGCTGCAATCTGGCAACCGCAAGGCTAAAGACATTTAAATACATTTTGTTCTTTAAATATCTAAATACATTTGTAATCAGCAGTAAACCAACGTAAAGATGTTAGAGCAGTGATAATCTAATCTTTCCCTGTTGTTCTAATCCAATATGGATCCTGGACAGGTCGCCAGTCCATTGCAGGGCCACATACAGACAAACAACCACTCACACCTAAGGACAATTTGGGAGACACCAATTAACCTAGCCTGCATGTCTTTGGATGGTGGGAGGAAACTGGAGTACCTGGAGAGAACATACAAACTCCACACAGAAAGGCCGGGGCAACTGGGGTTTGAACCCACGACCTTCTTGCTGTGAGGCAACAGTGCTAACCACCACGTTGCCCTCCAATATGGATGTTTTATTTATTTTTTACTTTGTACACGTTGTAGAATGGGAATGACTAAAAAGGATAGCAGCTTTCAGAGCAAAAGAAAATATAAAAATGAATAGCTGTTTCCAGGTCATATGTGCTTTTAGCTTCATAATAAAATATTACTCTGATTGTAATGATACCAAAGAACACAAAGGCAATAAAATGTACTGTTGACTACAAATGCTGAAAAATAAAACAGTGGCGCCTATTTTTAATATTGCTGTTATTTTACAAAACAGAGCTTTGGTGAAAAAAAATGTAGTCGTTAAACAATGTGATACCCTCAATTTGGGATTAATGCTTATTTTATATAGATTTATTGGCACCGTAAACTGTGGAGAAGTAAATTTGAAAGGGCTTGAGATATTTCCATTAATAATAAACCTGATTAGGTTAAGGCTGCTGGCTTTTCAACATCACTAACTGTGAGGTTGAGGTGTTTGTTTATCACTCAGCCTGACACTAATTCTGTCAATGTCGGGCAGGGAGGTTTTTCTTTTTTCTTTCTACCGAAGAGCCCAATCATAATTAACCAAGGCAGCGTCTAATTAGGAGCTGAATAAATCCACGCAGGAAAGACTGATTGGTTGATTTTCTTCAACCATCTACCACCTGTTTTGCTCGATTCATTACCCAATTTGTTAATTTTATCTCTCAGTTGTCAAGGTTTAATTAAAGGCTAAAGAGGCCAGAGATGACATTTTGAAGGTTCTTTCATTCCCGCCTTCAGCCAACCAGGGCTAACCTGAAACATGTCACTTATTATCCTGTTTGTGTGTGCGCGGGGGGTGTTTATTTGAAAGACAACAAGAATGACTGAGATAGAGCAAAACAGCCCTTTAAACAAAGATTCATTCAGATAACATTTCAATCGGTCAGTCGCTTTCACATATTTAACATGTAGTGTTACACAACTGAAAAACATTTATTACATTAAAAATATTTATGTATTTGATTGTTGTCCTCGAAGTAAATCACTACCTAGGGAAATGACTGACAATATTTTTCTACCAGACAGAGGTATTGGCATAAAAGTGGAATCAGGCAGATCAAAGAATATTTGCATTTTCATGCAAGACACTTTGTCTACTCCCTGCTGAAGCGTACGTTATAATCTTTTTTGGGGGATGAGGCATGTGGGGGATCTTGTCTTTTTGCAGAAATACATGTTATATTGTTCAGGACAGGACAATCCAAAGAGGAATGCTTTCAAAGCACATTCAAATCTGCCTAATTACCCACCCAAAGGAGGCTGGTAGGTAGTTGAAGTGAAGTGACATAAATAAAATAAATCTTCATCGAGTGCACTGGACATGCTTCAGCACATGGCAGTTTAGACTTAAAATGAAACATGACATTGTACTTTTATATCAAAGGTATAGTAAAAGAGGAGAAATTAACAGGTACAGGGTACAGGATAAGGGAACAGAGGAGACAAGGCTTGGATAAGAGAGCCCGCCAATCACTTACCTTCCTTAAAACTGAATTATTTTTATATCTCCCTAATAATACAGGATTTTCAGTGCAGTGGTAGAGCCTTAATTGAAAGGGGTCATCGTGGGAGGAATCAAGATTCACATGGAGGAGTACTGGTGGGCGATTGCAGGGATGGGGAATGACCTCTGCTGCTGTCTTTGGGTGGTGTTGGGTTGGTGAAGTGGGGGTCAGGGTGTGTTACTGGCTCGGCCTTAGTGTGCCATGTTAATGATGACTGATGTTCTCCAATTAGATGTGCTGACAGGCCCTAAAGCGCTGTGTCATTAATCACAGGAGTGGCGTGCAAAAAGAGAAAATCACACCATGATTTATTGCTCCTCCACCTCCCTCTCTCAGTCTCTTCCCCTCTCTATCTCACTCTCTTCCCATCTTTTTGTGCTTTGGTGATCTAAGGGGGATTCTTGAACTCCTCCTTGAAACTTAATCAATCAGCAGGCACAGGCACCGAGTGTGACCTATCCTATGGAGGAACTGCAGGCTGCAGCCGGGGCGGTGGCATGGTGAGACCAAACGGAGGTGACTTGCAGGGCTTAGGCATCTGCGTTACCAGGCCTGCAGTTCTTTCCTTGATTGCCATTCATATGAATGACACACATGATAGAAATAGTGTCCTGGTGTATGAAAGTGCGATATAACTAATGTTTCAGTGTGAGCTGTCTTGATGGGCACGGAGATCTAACAATCCCCGCAGGTCAGGTCTGCAGTCGACACAGTAAGGGTCCGTGGTGGAGGCAGAAAACTCTGGATAATACTTTACTGGGGTAGGACAGCGGAAGTCACTGTCACATGCACGTCGGCCTGCCCCTGCTCTGTCACACCAACTCACCATAAAGCAGTGTCACCTCACTAACACACACAGACAGCCCAGGGGCCTGTGACCGGCAGTGGGGGGCATCATCAACACCGAGGAGGCCAAGGGAAGGCTGGTGTGGGGTGGGTTGGGGTTGCAGGGAAGGGTGGCAGGGGTGGGAAGTGGAGCGGGTAGGATTTGGGGTTTTAAGGCAGGCAGACGGGGGAGGAGGGAGCAGTCCGTACTGTACTCACATAGTCTGAATCCGCTTTGGAATCGTAGTATGAAATGGCATTCTCCTGTGCAGAAAAGAAAAGTGAAAAGACAGGTGATGAGAGAAGATATAGCAGTGTCTATATCAGCCCCGACTCCTCGCGGTGGTCAGCTAGAGAGTCATGGTTATATTCCGTCACACTGTTCAGCATGAGAATATAATCAGCATCACAGAACACAGGAGGAGTAGTGTGATGTGGAATGACAGTCATGAAAAGGCGAGCAGATAGCTGTAGAGATATTGAAGGATGTAATGTGTCCAGGTGATGCTTTTTTGTTAATAAGATGCAATGTATGTGGTACATGTTCGAACTTGTGTTTAAAACACTGTAGGAACATCATGTGTTGTGGGAAAGTTTGTGTGGCACTGTGACATGAGCTCAGATGTGACATGGAGTTTGCAGTGAGAGAAGAAATAAACTCAAAATATTACGCTCTCTGGGAGTCTTATCAACCTCAGCTGGTTGTGTTTTCAGTCTAGGCCAAGAGCTCTCACAGGAGGAAATAAACAGGAAAAAAGAAAAGGATAAGAAAGTAAATGTATGCAATTGTGTTACACTATTTTTCTCTAATTACTGACTAAAGTTACCAGCCAGGAGCTAAAACCCCAGATTCAGCCCCTTACCACCAAGCTTCCGGCCTTTACCCCGAGCAAAGACCCCATACCCAGGCTGTTAGCCTCCCTGCCGTCCTCTTGTCCTCTGAACTGGCGTCCTTATCTCCCATGGAGGCAGGCGTGAGGGCGGGCAGTGGCTGTATGCAGCGAGCGGCGGTCATGGGGCCTGCCTCATTATCATGAGGAGGCTGGCTGAGGACGCGCTCTCAAGGGCACCACAGTTACTGACTCGCCCACACTGAAGGAGCTGTGGTCACGGTCCGATGAGGGAGGATGGCAGACAGAGAAAGAGAGCATCTACTTAACAGGTCTAGTTAGTCTCACCCACGACTCACTCAGTCGGACTTATTTTCTCTCAATTTCTCTTTGTCACTTGCTGTCTATGCCCTGTTTTGCTCTTAACTGTTTTTCATCTTTCTCCTGCTGTCTCACACACACACACATGCTCTCTGCATTTGTTTAGCTCATACAGAAACACACACAAACACTAACACACACCTATCTCTGTCAGCCCCATTTTTCTCTCAGTTCCCTTTGGCGTGAGAGCCTCTCTGCACACCACGACAGGGATCTTGGCTGGCCTCCAGTGCTAATCAGAGAGTCAGTCATCAGCTCAGCTCAGTCCCGAACAACTCACCAACAACAAAAACCAGTATGATCAAAACTCACGCTGACACCAAACATGGGGCAGCTTGTGTCTTTGGGTAATGAGCGTGGACAAGACAGAGGAGGAGCAGAGACTGCCCCCTGACACTTCTCCTCAACTTACCAGCACTCCCTCTGCCTCCACAGCTCTGTCAGAGAGATCAGGAGTGAGGACGGAGGGAAAGGAGCTGAGGGGAGGGATCAGAGCGGATCGTTCAGGGAGTACATTGGGTTAAGTTGGAGGGTTAGGATGGAGGCTGAGGTCGGGGCGATATGAAGGGATGAATTGAGAGGAGAGAGATGGGTGGTGGTGGTGGTGGTGGGTGCAGTGGGGAAAGAGCTGCCAGAGCTAAAAATAGCCTGTGCCTCTGCAGAGAGAGAAGAGGAAGAGGGAGAAAGAGAGAGTGTGTTGTTGTGTCTGCCAGCAGCATTGATCTGGAGCCCAGTCCTGCTTAGACTGGTCCCTCGCTCCTAAAGAGTTTACTCTCACTGCTGCGGCATTACAACTCATTATTCAGGACTGCTTCCTGTAAATAAACACTTGGTTCCCGGCACCCGAGGGACACCGTCCAGCAGCTTTACACAAACAATGATAAACTCAAAAAAACATACCACACATTACTGAAGGGAGAGCTTAGTGAGAGGTCATCACTGCACTGGTATTTTGTACCTTCCCCTTATTACTATTCTTTATTGCAAATAATAATCCATAATCTGTAATGAATGCAGGTGTTTCAATACATGGCAGGGTGACTGCTTGGTTTGATGTGCATGAAAAAAATGTGAATCAATTTCTATGGCTGATTTCAGTGGAACACTTATGGTTTTGGACAAACAAGTTAGACAACACTCTCAGCCACCATCATGAAAATACAAAAAAAATTAGGAAATATCTTTTGGATGAATGCTGTTCATCCCTCTAGTAGAGTTCCTCAGACTAGCAGATCTATTTGCAAAGAAGCACTGAAGCTGTTCTGGTGGCTAGTGGCGCCCAACTGGTTACGTTTCCTTTAATTTGTCACCCTTCTGTCACTGGCATCACGTCATTTTGCACAGCTGGACAGCTGTGTTTACCTTACTGTTTACCCAGTACATATCACTTACTCGTGCTAAACCATGCACAGTGTACATACAGGAATCACCACTTATAGCAAATCCTAGCATCAGTAAAAGTATTATTCCTCCTTGTGCTGCTGTTTTTTTACTAATTTACCAACTGTCCTACGAAGACTTTTATATCTCACAGCTGTTTTACTATATTGTCTGTACACCAGCCTCCACTTATTAGTGCCCACAGAATGAGTTAATAATCAAATACATCAGACATACATAATTTAAAAAAATTTTTTTATTTGGATTGGAATGAAATACACTGCTCAAAAAATGAAAGGGAACACTTAAACAACACGATGTAACTCCAAGTCAAATCAAACTGTCCACTTAGGAAGCAACACTGATTGACAATCAATTTCACATGCGGTTGTGCAAATGGAATAGACAACGGGTGGAAATTATAGGCAATTAGCAAGACACCCCCAATAAAGGAGTGGTTCTGCAGGTGGTGACCACAGACCACTTCTCAGTTCCTATGCTTCCTGGCTGATGTTTTGGTCACTTTTGAATGCTGGAGGTGCTTTCACTCTAGTGGTATCATGAGACGGAGTCTACAACCCACACAAGTGGCTCAGGTAGTGCAGCTCATCCAGGATGGCACATCAATGCGAGCTGTGGCAAGAAGGTTTGCTGTGTCTGTCAGCGTAGTGTCCAGAGCATGGAGGAGCTACCAGGAGACAGGCCAGTACATCAGGAGACGTGGAGGAGGCTGTAGGAGGGCAACAACCCAGCAGCAGGACCGCTACCTCCGCCTTTGTGCAAGGAGGAGCAGGAAGAGCACTGCCAGAGCCCTGCAAAATGACCTCCAGCAGGCCACAAATGTGCATGTGTCTGCTCAAACGGTCAGAAACAGACTCCACGAGGGTGGTATGAGGGCCCGACGTCCACAGGTGGGTGTTGTGCTTACAGCCCAACACCGTGCAGGACGTTTGGCATTTGCCAGAGAACACCAAGATTGGCAAATTCGCCACTGGCGCCCTGTGCTCTTCACAGATGAAAGCAGGTTCACACTGAGCACATGTGACAGATGTGACAGAGTCTGGAGACGCTGTGGAGAACGTTCTGCTGCCTGCAACATCCTCCAGCATGACCGGTTTGGCGGTGGGTCAGTAATGGTGTGGGGTGTCATTTCTTTAGGGGGGGGTTGCATAGCCCTCCATGTGCTCGCCAGAGGTAGCCTGACTGCCATTAGGTACCGAGATGAGATCCTCAGACCCCTTGTGAAACCATATGTTGGTGCGGTTGGCCCTGGGTTCCTCCTAATGCAAGAAAATGCTAGACCTCATGTGGCTGGAGTGTGTCAGCAGTTCCTGCAAGAGGAAGGCATTGATGCTATGGACTGACCCGCCCGTTCCCCAGACCTGATTCCAACTGAGCACATCTGGGACATCATGTCTCGCTCCATCCACCAACGCCACGTTGCACCACAGACTGTCCAGGAGTTGGCGGATGCTTTAGTCCAGGTCTGGGAGGAGATCCCTCAGGAGACCATCCGCCACCTCATCAGGAGCACGCCCAGGCGTTGTAGGGAGGTCATACAGGCACGTGGAGGCCACACACACTACTGAGCCTCATTTTGACTTGTTTTAAGGACATTATGTCAAAGTTGGATCGGCCTGTAGTGTGGTTTTCCACTTTGATTTTTAGTGTGACTCCAAATCCAGACCTCCATGGGTTGATAAATTTGATTTCCATTGATAATTTTTGTGTGATTTTGTTGTCAGCACATTCTACTATGTAAAGAAAGGAGTATTTAATGAGATTATTTCATTCATTCAGATCTAGGATGTTATTTTAGTGTTCCCTTTATTTTTTTGAGCAGTGTAATATTTACCAGATTGAAAAAATAATCTCTATGTAACCATTGCTGTCAGATAACATTGTACGGTACCTGAACTTGTTTGTATAAAAGTTGTTGCTTTTTGCAATGTGATGAAAATAAAACCTCTACACTTAATTACATGAGCACTTAAGTTACACCAATGCCTCTCATGAATGCAGCCAGCCTCTGCCTGCAACCACATACTCTGACACGCACCACACAGACGCGCACAGAAGAGGTGGCTCCATGTGGACGAGTCCTAGGCCACCATGACCCTCTCAGCAGCCCCCAGGGTAGCATGGCCATCTGCTGCGGCTGGTCACAGGTCTCTATGGGCTCAGGGTCGGGGTTAAACACACATCTGATACAACACCAAGCCAGCAATTATCCCATGCTCGTCTCACCCTGTGACAATATCATTGCAAGGTTTGATCGTTCCAAATAGTATATCAGCATTTTATGGGGTTAAACTGATTGTTAAAAATGTAGCTGTACGCCCTGTGCACCCTGCTAGTGTGCACACACACACACACACACACACACACGCACAGAGACACATAGCTGCATGGTCACGCAGACACTATGAATGTACATACAGAGCGAGTGCTCGTACAAGGCCGAGTGCGCACACTCACACACCAGGTGCACACAAAGAAACACACAAAGTCAGAGAAAGTCCCACTAACACAGAGTACTATCACTAAATTAAATCTATCATGCTGAGTGGACCAACAAATTCCAAACAGGAGACAAACACTGAGGTCAGGTGATGATCTCTAGCCCCTCCCTTACATCAATCTTCTGCCACTCATCTCCGAGCCCTTCCTCCC